CTGGAACAGGCTGCCCAGAGAGGTTGTGGAGTCTCCTTCTCTGGAGATCTTCAAACCCGCTTGGACGCAGTCCTGTGCCACGTGCTCTAGGTGACCCTGCGTATGCAGGGGGGTTGGATTAGATGATCTCTAGAGGTCCCTTCCAACCTTAAGCATTCCATGATTCTGTGATCATCTTCGCAAAACTGTAACAAAGAAAAGCAATCTGAAACTAGGGAACGTGCTAATTAAGGTATCACAAAGAAACACAATTATCTTTAAGTAGACTAGCAGGAAATGAGGTATTACTCCACAGGACCATGATTCCCGCTCTTGTAAAAATAAATAAATAAGTAAATAAGTAAATAAATAAAAATAAATAAAGTAGCAAGACTAAGGAGGCCCTAGCTTGGAAAAAGGAGAATAACAACCTTCCTCCTCTTCCTTTTACCCAGGAGCAAGACAGAGGAAGCATCAGCCTAGCTAACTTAATAGACACAACAGATAACACCATCTTTACAGGCAAATTTGTGCTTTTGAGTAAAATATTATTTTAAATCTCATCCTGCTCATCCTGGGAGACGTCTAACAGGACATACCCCATTCTGAAGGTATATCTGTTAATATGATGCACGAGGTGCCCACCAAAGGGCTTGGGGCCACATCACCTTGCTCAGAGCCAAATTGTAACATGTCAGTAACTACAAAACTGAGCATAACCAAGTGTCACTCATTCCAAAAGTAGAGCTGGCTAAAGGGTTATGGTTTGCCTGGAAATAGCAACTCCCTGCACTAAATAAGCAACTAAGCTAACTCACTAAATCACCTCACTCGGTGGGAAGTCACCTTGACAAGCTAGACAGCATCTTTTCTCATCTGGAAATCAGAGAAACAGGTCAGCTGGCAGCCAGCCCAGTCTGAGGAATAGTGGAAATCCTAAACACACACTCACAGGAGAAATTTAAGCAAACAAATCAATGACTACACAACCTCATCCTGAAAAAATGCAATGGCTAAAGACACTTAATCATTTTGTGCAGGTTAAATAAGAACTGTCTAACAGGCTGCCAGAGCTCTGTCTGGACTTTCTAGATGATTAGCCCCACAAAAAAGCAACCTCTCAGATGCCAAATGTCCTAGTTTCATAACTGAACTTTCCAACATAAACAAGAAAATAAAGAACAGCTCTTCGGTACTTGAAGGAATTAAAAGTTCAACAGTTTCTACACACCCTGAAAAGCATTATCTGACAGAAGATTCTCTAACTACTGGTGTTTTCATCGCAACCAATGTTCCCAAGGACCACAGTGCTGATTAAGCAGCATTTCAAGTATTGGAAGGCTGTTCTAGCATTTAACCTCTCTTCTACAGCCACGAGGGCAAACTCCTAACGACCGCCCTGAGGACACTGACAGTCAAACCCAAAACTTTACAATACTCAAAGCTGCAGGGTGACAGCACCTAAAAACTAGACAAGTAGCTTGCAGATAACTACAACTCTGTGAAATAGAGCTCTTTTCTGCCAGCACCTTGGAGTCTCTCTCAGTTCCTGCCCTAGCAGGATGGTACATTTGTTATGTACCAAAAAGTCACTTGTTCACATGGTAAAACTTGGGAGTCCCAGAGTCATCCTGGGTCTTTACAGCACCGCAAACACCAATACTGGATCTCAGGGGTTGCCAGGATCCAGAGCTAGCTGCTCCTTCAGCTCTGCTGTTTTCATGGCTCCATAGAGCAAACTTAAGATTTTGACATTTGTTTCCACCCAGGAATTACTTCTGTGATTTTGACCCATCTTTTCCTTTCTGATAATGGTATCAAAATAGTGTCCACAGAGTCCAAAGTTCAGCTGTTTTTGAAAGTGAAGCAAATATTTTATGAAATTTTTGTTTAGTAAGAGTCATTGCTAGACTGAGGCAAAACTTGTCCAAGCAAAATCTACTGGAGAGCAAATCAAGACCGGTCACATGAAGTGTTCTGGTTGTATGTTTTTGGTATACATTTATTAAAGCACTTTACAACATTGAGTTTCACCTGACAAATTTATCCTGTAGCTCTCAAAATAAAAAAACATGCTAGGCATGGTCATAATCTCAGAGCTCCCTCCCTGCACATAAGCCACATCTAAAATCCAGGAACTAAAGATGTTAAGGCACAATGCCATAATAGAGACAAATTGGATCAGAGAAAAATCCAAGGCAAAGAAAGTTTTAGTATAACATAAGGCAACATTCTATTAAGAGCAGAAATCAAGAAGCAAACCTCAAGTGGATGTCAAAGAGCTCTATTTCTGAGAGACACAAGGGCACTTGCTCCACACTCTCTAAGCTTGGAAACATAAGGGGTCTTCTAAAGACATCTTCAAGCAAGACACGGACAATATTCTCCTTCCTGGCATACATTACATATATGCACTCCAAAATATGTCTGTCTCAATTTACAAGCTGGTTGTATTTTACAAGTTCCTTTTCCCAAAGATAAGTACATATCTAATATTAGAATTTACTCTAGGACCTTCCTTTCCTTTTGAGTGCATTTTGAGTGTTATTTTGCCCCCTGATGCTTCTAGAGACAGGACAACATCTTAAGATAGAGATCTTAAGCCACTCTTTCACAAAGTCACTGCAGCATGATCATTTGCATATCCCAACTTTAGATTAAGTTTTTAAAAGAGCTGATATCCATGCTACCTTAAAAATTGAAACCTCAGTTCATACAGCTTGGTTATCAAGTTTATTCGCAGCAATTCCAAATGAAAGCTTTGTGCGTTCCAAAATGTTTTTTGCAACAATACTCCGTGAAAGTGATACACTTTTAGTCAAAAATAGATTAAGCAACCAAAGTCAGTTATGGGGAAACTGTTCAATCAAAATAATAATCCTTGCTCCTAAATTCTACCGCTTCAGAAGCTCTTAGGCAGTGCCCTGTACAAGACCACATCATCCTGTCACTGAAGGATGCAAATTCTGCAGCAGATACTAAATAAATTAAACATCTGTCAAGTTGCAGCAAGGAGGCAGGAAAGCAGCTGGACGAGCTACCAGTCCTTGCAACAGGATTAAAAGGTTATCTGGGCGAGGCTCTTGCACAGGAGGTCAGCCACAAAGCTCACTGTTATTGACACCACTACGAGCCCCTGATCAGCTGCTGTGGCACTGTTTCAGACACAGAATCTATATTCTTATCTAGATATAAATATCCTGCTGGGCACTGGACAGCATCTGTGGTTAAAATTATTTGAGGAGTAATGCTGACATTTCAGGTATTGCTTTAACCCCGTCATGCATCTTTCTGTTGTTACTCGCTCAGACGTTTGGTTATTAAACTAGTACAAAAAGACCTGAATAAGCTGGGATCCAGCTGTGGTTGTGGCTATTCAGGTGTCCATAGTAAACACACATTTATAGCCTTCATGGTCTAGAATACTATCTGGAGATGGATCTCCTTTTTATTCTCTTTTGTTTATGCCAAGGGAGAGTTTGTCTTTTCAGTCAGTAGAGCCAGAGTGAAAGCTCACTGCTGTGGGCTGCCCAAGTATTGTTGGTGCCTCCATAGGGAATAGGAATGGGCAGGGCAAAGACTGAGCTCATTTGGGAAGGGAGGGAAGTCCTTGCAAGTCTTCAGACTGCCTTTGTTTTTCTCTTCCCCAGCTGAGAACTAGTCCTAGGAGGATTTCCAAAATTTTTCAAGACTGATGTTTTTAGGCACTCCCACAAGTTAGCCTATTCCAGCTACTCCAGAACACACGGATTGTACCTTTTCTGAAAATTTTATGTTTCAGGTTAAACCACAACGTGAAAATCGCCTACTATTATAGATCATTATAGATCTCAGGTGGTTTTATACTTGCACTGACAACATCCAAATGCTATGAGTTTGGTGCTAACAAACATAAAAGGTACCTTTTGTATCCTTAGTTTCTGCTTCCAGGAATCTGTGGTAAAGATTTCTGACAGCTGCATTCATAGATTTCGGTGGCTGGTGCAGGATCTTGTACTTGTTAACCACAGTCTTGTTTATGTCTTGAACAACTGCATTAATTTGATCATATGTTAAACGGCCCCTCATGTACCTAATAAATCAAATAAATAAATGATTAACCAGAAAATCTCAGAATTAAAGCACTGTGTTTATCTATCTCTTCCCTAAGTCCTAGCTGAACATGCTTTTCCTTCGCAGAGATGGTTTCTTCTGCTTTGTGTTAATGAATAACAAAATAGTTTTATTTATTTATTTATTATCATTGAATAATGCTGAAGGGAAAAAAAAAACATAAAGCTTAAACCAAGAAAATGAAACATTAGAATGTCTGATTAAAATGTATTAAAAAGTTTAAACTGCCAAAATAATGCAAAAAATGAAATAAATATTGGTTTTATGTTTATAACATGTCACTTAGATGACCAAAGTGGAAAAATAAAGTAACTGCAGAAAACAAAAGAAAAACTTAATTTCTAAAATGTTTCTGCCTAACAGTACAGTTTAAAAAAAAAAACTTTGTTTGCTGGTATTACTCTGATTTTTGAAGAAATACCATTTTTTTCTTCTTTCACTATGCAGCCTCCTTAACTGTATAGACACAGAATTTCTATGGCACTACCATCATTTCTGAGCTCTCAGCATTTCATAAAACGAGTATCAAAATAGTAATATTTGCTGACAACAGCCTAGGGGTACATGAAGCACAAGAAGATAAAAACAAAGTGATGTAGAAATATTAGAACAGTGGAATATTTGCAAGTGAGGCTATCCTGTATTTATAGCTGTAAATACATGCATTCTAGGAAGGGAAATAGATTGCAAAACTACCGACTGTGGAACAAATATATGGAAGTGAACTCTTCAACAGCAAAGTATGAGACTAAACTCTAGAAATCACTGCAATAAAAGCCAAGGCTAAGTTTAGCACTTTAAATAAAGCATCTAAGCAATTTGTTCTGGTAATTTTTCAGATGTTATTGTGTAATTTCCAGTGACTAGTGTCTAGAATACAAGCAGGAGGATGATGCAAACAAGTATCATCAGGAAAATTGCGTTTTTCTTTCAGTTAGTCCATCAAGTGACTAAAAGCTGTACAGCAAAAAGATTAAAGAGATCAGTGAACAAGAAATTATTCCCTCATTTTAATCCGACTACAAAAAATTCAATCTTTGAAAAACATGCAAAGAATATACAGCACCAGTAGCTACCAATTAAAAACACATCAATATACTAAAAACAATGTCAGGGATTTTAAAATACTCATTACTGTAAAACAAACAAGCAAAAAATCGGCAGTGAATATGTAAGAACCCCTGAATCAAAGCAATTGCTCTGATTTCAAACCAACTTTGCACCAAGCTATTTGCAGCCAGTCAGTCAGTCAAGGCCATTGTCTTCCCTGCTATAAATACAAATAGTGTGGTTTGTAACTTGACATTAATGGGAATCAGAATATGTATGGCAATAGTAAAAATACCACAGGGTCTTTAGTGACTATTCACAAGAGCCAAGCGGCATTTTGCAGGATTAAACCTATTATCTTGTCTCACAATCAACAACGTGACCCTTAGGTCTCTGCCTTATGCAGTGAACACAGGCTGCACAAAGCTGTGCTGCTCAAGCTGCCCTCCAAGCTGCTTAAAAACCAAGAAACTCTGAATCCAGAGGTGCTCAAACCAATCCCACTGCAAGGGCAGAACATCAGAACATGAGAAACCTCTGAGAGGAGATCCGTCCAAACCACCATATGGACAGATCTACACTTAATGCTAGATCACAAGTAAAGCTTTCCACTTTATTCATATTTTGGAACTCCACATTCAAAGTTGGAAGTGCAGCCATTTTTATATAAATCCTCTACTCTGCATTCATACCAACATTTCACATAACAGGAACACTAAGATCCCTGAAACCCAGTCACACTGTGCACAAATTAATAACGCAACCATAGAAGCACTCTGCCTATATACATTAACTTCAATTTATGGCTCTTTGCTGCCCTTATCCTTTTTATAAAGTCACGGGGAAACTATAACTATGCAGATTAAGGTCTAAAGTGTAACACCACTTTTCTTTATGTTCCCACTATCACTAGAGATGCAGCCAATACAGTTAAAGCCAAGGAACAACTCATCTAAAACTAAATGCTGACCAAAGTGCCTGTGGTTTTTCTTCTACATGGGCCCTATAGTTAAGTACAAACTCATGCTGTTCCATGATCCTTTTATATTTCTATCCAGTTGTGGCTAACAACCTGACAAGTGTTGACATTCAGTTCAGCCCATACAGTAATATAGAATATACTAGCTAAGTTGGTAAGTTCAAGATTCATCCATTTAATTTAGATTTAAAACTAATCTCAAATCTGCACCAAAACCATATACGTTCAAAACTCACAGTTCTACTTCTTTTAAAACAGGGAACTCTTTTCTTTTTGATCTACCCTTACTTCTTTTTGAAGCCCTTACCATAATCCAACATGATTTTTCCACCTCAATCCATAGGCAGAAAAAACAAAACACAATTATATGTTATTGAGAGAAAAGCATAACATTGGATCTACTATGGATATAAAACTGGAAAAAAAATAGATAGCCTTCCTAATAAACTGTCCTCGCTTCTTCAAAAATATCTAAAGAGAAAAAAAAAAAAAAAAAAAAAACAACTTTCCTCCAAGATACTACCTTCTTTGAAGTGTTATAATACAAGTGTAGATTTTAAAAGTGTCACTAAAAAAATCTATAAACAATGAGAATGAATAAGGCACATATTTTATTCTGCTTCAGTTAGCCAAGATATCTACTGTACAATATCTTTTTTCTTCCTAGAAAAAAGATATCTTTCTGGAACAAATTTGAAGGCTAAAATAATTTGCAATTTTTTATTGTGTGAGAATATTCTATCTGAACAAGGTACTTCCATATCTGTACCTTAACACAGCCTGTACCTTTGTTAAATACCTGCTGTAGAGTTCTAAAATATCAAGTCAGTGGGGATCGTATATTCCATTTAATGCCCTAAGGACATTTAGGTTAGATTTCCATCCACATTCAGCACAAAGGCAGTAAACACACCTGGATCTTTCAGCTAGGAGCTTTCCACAGCAGTGTGGAAAGAAAGCTGGGGAATGAGATTCTTGGCTGATGCAGTACCGGTGATACCAAACTATGGGATTTGGACCCTCTGCACTACAATACTGTTGTGCTTTATTAAGTCTTTCGGATGAACTTGGTGTAGGGACTGTTTTCAGAGTCTCACAGCCTTGGGACCAGAGCTGCAGAAAAGAAAATGGTAGTACTCCTTGTTACTATTGCCAGCAGGCAGAAAAGATCCTGCATGAGAGCTAGGGCAGACTGACCAGGAGAACTGGGACATGAACTAAGTTCTGATTCCTCTAGCAGAATGTGTTAGGAATGAGGAAGATCTGGTTACAACCATTCGCTGCTTAGACTGGACTCAATAGTAAGTGAAATTGCAAGCATAGCTGCCTCCTCAGTTACTTACTGCAACGCTGCTACACAACAGAAAACACTGGTAGATGAATAGATTTAAATTAATGCAAATCTCTCTCAGTACAAAGACACTTTTTCCTATCTGAATGAAAATATTTTTATAGCAGAAGAAACACAGTCAGAGATGAATACAGTAGCATACAGTTAGCTCCCTACACATTCCCCACACAAACACCAGTGGAAAATCTTGAGGGAAAAATGGAACATGTGAGGAGGTTTTCGGGGAAGATCATAACTTTAACTGGAGTTTAAAGCGTTTGGCTGTAAAAGTCTAGGTCTACTTCTCTTGCCTTAGCACAGGCAAAGGCCAAGAAACTGAGTGCTCCAGCTTCACCTTTCCAAAATTCTGTTAGGAAAAAAGTACATAAAGGAATAAAACACCATTCAGGCTCCTTCATTTCAGGATTGAGCAGTCAGTGGGAGAAAATGAGCTAGGCTCAGCTGAACTCTGAAAGCTCAAAAACCACACACCTATTGAAATAAGGATTGTCAGGGCACAGACTGAGCTTAGAATCTAGGTAACAATTTAGCCTTAGGCATTAAAGGAATTTTCTCATTTTTGCAAAAATATTTGTCATTGCCTCAAAATCCCACTTAGAGAAAAAGCTATTCCTACACAAAAGCCTTCGAGCAAGGGTACTTATTAACCAGTTCCTGATGGCAGGGGAAAAAAAAAAAAAAAAAAACTTCCTATTCCAGAAACTCAAAAAAACAAGTCAGTGGGAGGTGGGTTTTGCTTTTAACAACTGAGATTTTTGTTCCTGTATCAAAACAGATAAGTCAAAGCTTGAATTTTTCAGATGCTAATATCCAAGTTAATTAAAACAGCATTTATTATCCTTTAATATTATCCTTTTTCTTTTAAACATCAGCTTATCTCTCATATTATGAGATGATGGCACATTTTGTTAGTATGAGTTTTCAAAACAAGTAAATCTAACTATTAGCTAGTATGTTTCTCTTCATTAAACTAAACTAGCTTTTCAGATAAAGAGTTTTAACTAATTAGTTCCAATCTCCCCAAAATATACATAGAAAAGAACTTAATCAGCTCTATTTGCTTCATTTTCACGTGTCCTTGTATTGCAGAACTATTTGATATTTAATATTGCGGAACATTCTGAAATTTCAAAACATGTCCATCAGTCTCAGTTCACCTTCCCAAACCCGTTTGCCTCCCAAAGCAGAACAACAGGGTCTCAGAAAAAACATGCTTACTTACGCAGGAACATTTTTAAATTCTTCCATAGTTATCAAGGCTGCTTCTTTAATAAATCTTGGCTCTTTCGTAGATTTCTTTGCAGGTTCAGGTTCTGTGACTTTTGTTTGTTCTCCACTTTTCACCATTAGCCCAGTGACGCTGTAAGATAAATTAATATTAAGTGTATAAATAGCAGGTAAGCAGCCAGGACAATACCAATATGTTATCAGGTCTGTTTCATCACAGAAGTAAGTTCCAAACAATCTGTTAGGTTAGATGACCTTTTCTGAAATAACAATGAGAAAATAAAGCCAAACCCCTTTCAAATTCTGTATTTTAGCTGACTTTACAGCTCTGCATTTCTCTGCAAGGAAGACTGCTAGCAGGTGAATTGGAAGCAATCCAAATGCAGTAGGAATTCAATGTACCATTACATTTCACAGAACATGAGGCCTCACATTTTATCAGATGAGCCAGAGCATAGAGCTGGAGTCTAACAGGCAGATTTGAAATACCTCACAGCTCTTTGAAACAAGCCCGAATGTTGGGAAGCCTGACTCATCCGTTAATCTTTTGAAACAAATAAATTCAATACCATCCAGCAACCTGTATGATTCTCTTCAGCAAGAGGCAATAAAACCCCAAGGTATTTCCTGCTTTGAGAGATTATTACAACAAGGGTTATAAATTTACCCCTTCTCTAAAACCTCATCTCAGAACCTTGAACACTGACCTGTATGTCAACCACCCACCCAGCTGCTTTCCTAAGCATTGGCAGCAGGACAGCAAAGGGCAGAATGCATTTGGCCAATTTCAATGTCACCTTGACATCAAGTATAAGGACATGACTGAGGTGAAAAGCTCAGCAGAAAAAAACAACCAACCAACCAACCAAACAAACAAAAACCAAAAAAGATATCACAAAGAACTGATGCTCTTTGACATAGCCTTACCCCGCCATACACACACACAAAAAGGATCTTTGTTTCAACACTCAAGATATAGGGCCCCGAGCACAAGGCAGTGAATGGCACAGCAGCATTCCATATATCCAGCCATAGGCCGAGGTTGGACATCAGCTGATGTCACCCCTTCAAATCTAGCATCCCACTTTCCAGTGAACAGGACGACAGAGGACAGCGAGTGCCACCTGCTGGACTCCCCAAATGCCTGGGACATGACAGCGTGAAAGAGGAAGCTCTGTGCCACACCATGATGGAAAGCAATTCTGAAACCCAGGAAAAGAAAATTAAAAACAAATAGGACTTCCCTGGACATATTTTAGAAGGTTGTTTCCCAGACTAAGAGTTTATGTCTAAAAGGTAGCATTTAGAAGGTTAAATACTCCGGGACACATCATCTTTTTGACCTTGCCAGCTTACCTATCCAGGTACTCACTAATCCAAGTTTTAATACAAGCAGTACTGCAACAGATGAGAATATTGTTATAGATACAATCAAAAAATTAGTGTTTTTTTTTCCCTCTTTTCTGTAACCCTGTTTCCACATTTATTTTTTTAAACATTTTGCTGGAACAAGCCTGTAATGTTCTCCGCTGAAGCATTGATAGGCTCTAGGAGAAAGACCAGGTAAAGCCCATGGGTTCAGGGCACATACTGGGGTGCTGTTCAGATAAACTGATGCTTTGCTTCCTGACAAGCTATGAGAGTTGAGACACATGCTGGCATCTCCAGATATTAGAACCTAGAAAGATACACCTGTCTGACATACACTCACACCACTCAAAGACAAAAGGCAATTTCAGCAGTGCAGAGAGAGCTGATCACTCTAAGAAGCCTCCTCAGAATACTGTTTTGGAAGCTGTTTGATTAATAGAGCGCTATTCCGTTTTACATACCAATGCCTCATTTTCTCACTTCAACCTTTTCGGTATAGCCCTCTCAGAGGTAGATGGACACCATCACTAGCCAAAGTAAATTTCAGGATGTGGGGTGGGAATAAAAACACCACAACTGTAATTCAAGTCCCTGCAACAAAATGGTTGAGCTAGAGGATTTTTTTATGGTATTCGAGAGGGTTATGTTGAAATTCAGTTCTAGGGACCCCGAATTTGCCATCCACAGAGGCACCACAACTATCAAATTAGTGTGTTTGCAGTTCTAACGGAAGCAATGCTCAGCCTTACAGAACAATTAGCTTTCTACTATAATATCAGAGTACTACTGTGATCAGTGGTACTGTGTACCACAGTGTACCACTGTGATCACAGTACCACTGGAAGCTACCATCTGACCAAACTGTTGTCTTACAGGCTTTATTTCAGGGATTCAGTAGGATCCTAGCACAAGCCCAACCTCTGGTAACAACAAGTCTGCAGAAAGCTGTTAGTCAGTGTTCACATGCCCCAAAAGTTCACAGTCAATACCCAATAACAGGAGTAGAGCTGTGCAAAGATGCAGCATTCGGCCACCTCCACACTCAGGTATCACCTACCAGCTCGCAGTCGGTTTAGGCAGATGGGGAGGAATATTTTTACAGAGGTAACGTGCTTCTTTTTGATCTGTCCCAGCAGACTTCTGGAGCTCCTGAAATTAATATTTGACTTCAGAAATTTGAAACTATTAATATGATGCAAAAGAAATCAGCTTACTATTAGGACAATGCTAGAATAATGCATTACTTGATTACATCCTCAAAATGTCAGAGAAATCCGAATTGGCAAGAAGTAATCTTTCACAATATGCCCCAGAAGATTTGTGTAGGGGAAAGGTGGTGATAATGGTAGGAAGAAGGGATTCTTTCAGGGAACTCATCTGCATTCCCAAAAGTAATTTCAAGAAAACAAATGAAGGCAATACAAAAACATGCTAAAACAGATATTCTCATTGAACATGTAGCTTCCATAACTTTTGCAAAAATCTAAAAATAAATCCCTCTTTTTCACACCCCTGCATTCATTATTATAGGAACACATTGTCAGCATGTCAATACTGAAAAGCAGTGCTCTGGGTTTTCCATTCAAGCCTAAGGCACTTAGAATTTTGCTGACCTTGGGGAAAGAAAGAGCTCCCAACAATCTGTCCATTTTGTTGAGCTTCTGTGTTATCTTGGTACAAGCAGTTCTCTCATCCTTTAGCACAAAGGCCATGATGTTTTCAGGCAGTGATTCCTCATTGCCTGTATTTGTCCTTTCTCTCATCAACCTCCCCACTTCTGCAGGGGGGTTCCAACACCACCATTATGCGGAAACCAGTTGCATATAAGGGGGAATCAGCAAGTGCCTTCTTCAAGGCTTGATCATTCTAGGTGAGCAACACTACCTGCAGTATGCTTAGCATTTTTATAGTTACAGCTTGTGACACTTGTCAACTTTTCCCCAAAGAGTGGAAGGGTTTTGTTTTTACAGGTGTTCATTGTGCTAGAGAGCTCCTTAATAATCTTCCAGTAAGTGTGCTCCAAGTCCTAGCTTTCTAAAACAAAACGGTATTTGGAAAGATTTACGGGCTATTGCTATTTCTTTAGCTGTCTATTCCTATAGCTACATTGTTATCAATACACAAACAGGAATATTATGGGAAGCATCTCATTGGGGCTACAAAAGACAGGCTTGGATCAAGAGGAAAAAGTAAAGGACTACAGAGAATGATTTCCGATTCTCTCAAGGTTTCTGAATCACCACGTGTGGAACAAAACAGCAGCAGAAATATTTCTGCAAGAGAGAACAGGAAGCCATTCAGATGTCATTATCTATAGACAGTAAGATATTATGAAAGAATATACCCAAATCTTGTAAATACAAGAGGCAGGTACCTGAGCAGTACTTTCCACTAGCAGTGCAGTGTTTCACGGGTTTTTACACTTTACTGAACAGCAACATCCATTTTTAATCATATTTATATACTTCGTCTCACAAAGCAGATGCGTCCCCTATGAATCACCAATTCCTTCCAGGCTCACAAACTCTGCTTGTATTTGCTCTAAGAGTTGTAGCAAGCCAAATATAGTTTATTAGCAGAATGGCATAAAATTGTGACAAAGCAGCATACTGTGTGATTTTACAGACTACATTAGCCATGCCACATCTCAAACCTAAATCAGCAAACACTTTTTCTTAAATTGACAGCTCTCGGCATCCATATACACTGCTACTTATGTCATATCATCATTTTCCCAGAGTTTTACTACAAGTTTGTAGAGACAGCTATTTAATTTTTAACAGTTTTGCTTTATTCTAATGCTTATCCTTCCACCTGGCAGCAGTCTGGAATGACATTTTCACTTCCAGAGAAAACAATTGCTTAAAGAAGGCACATTCTACCATTACTGCCAGCAACTCTTGTAACAAAAAGATTTAATTTTCAGTAATGAAGCTAACAAGAATATGCATAAGTGTTGCTGGAACTACTATACTGAAAAACAGAGAACTCTGACAAAGAAGAGGCTTTATACAATAGATCCATTTTATATCAGCATCTAGTTCTGATATGATGGCAGATTGCCATTGCCCCTTAGCAACTCCAGATTTTTTTCTTAGTTTTCACTACTTTCATGCAATTCTCTTCTACCACATTTGACTAACAATAAAATTTAATAACAGCAAATGCAACAGTGTTGTCATAACAGAATTATAACCATTACGAAAGCACTAAAAGTGCCTAAAGATCACCAGCATAGCCACTCCTAACTGAAGCCTACAGCATGGATCAGGAACACAACATGCAGACAAGGTATCTCATGTATTGCTAACGACAGAAGGGACAACAGCTGCCCACTGGAAAAAATTCTGGGTAACGAGATTTAAACAAGTGCACAATATGCCAATTGAACTCCCAGTTTGGTCTCAGTCATGCGGGTGATTACGTCCACTTCCTCTCACATCTTAACTCAGCAGATCTCTTTCTATAGAGGAATAAAATGATTCAAGAGAAAAGTCCCTCTTTCTACAAACAAGGTTATTTCTGACTTGATTAATAAAGAGCAATGTGATCCACATCTTATCCTACTAGCATGATTTGCAGGAACAGAGTAATCTGATCATGGCATCACTGTTGCAACTAAGATACTTTATCTCTTGTAAGCTGCCTCTTGAATCCAAACCTATCACTTTAGATCTAGAAAAGAACAGCTAGGGACTCATGAAAGATTTTTGAATTTGTCAGTATTTTACAAGCAGAAAGAGATTACCTTCAGCAAATTCTTCAGTTTTTCTTGCCCTTGAAGTTCCATTTCCATTTTATTCAGGAGTTCATTTAGGAAAAACATCTCATATCCTATTTTACTCAGCATAGATTTCAGTGATGACTCTTGGCCTGGGAAGGAAAGAACGCTAAGCAAAAAAATCAAAAAAGCCAAATCACCACCACCAAAGCAAAAAATCACATTTCCCTCCTTTCCCAAGAGGACCGATTACCTACATCCTCTCCAACCACTGTATCTTTCCAAGGGAAAAAGCAATGTTCCCTGGTCTGCTGCAGGAATATAAGCTCCTCTCTCGCATGATACTGAAGAGTACTAAGCTCTTTCTACAACCTCTGAAGCTTGCAGGTAGAGGACAGAGCTCTTAAGTCTGGCTCCCACAGCCGCTTGGCCAGGAGCACCCTGTTCTCCATCATCATCGCCCTCTGCTCAGCAGGGCTAGAAAGGTGCCAACATCCTGCAACTGCTTGATGCAGGCAGTTAGACCAGGTGACTGTTTCAATGTCCCTTGAGGTAGGCAGTTAGATTTCCAGCACACCCAAACTAAACGAAAACCCATTCTTAGTTTCTGCTACCTATATTTCTTAATTGAAGAATCTTTTTGATAGTTGAAATCTTAGTGTTGATGTGCAAGCACAAATCTTCCAGAACTGAAGAGGCCATATTATCGTCCTATCAAAAAACAAACAAACAAGAAAGCATTTTAAAAAGCTACTCAAAAACACAAACCATGTAAGCGGAATTTTAAAGTGGACCCTATGCAAAGAAGCAAAGGGAAACTTTACATAGCTGAAGTTGTAAATATAGTAGCTATTATTTATCAAAATGAAAACAACAGGAAACACAAAGTGATTGATGCTAGTTACACAAAGCAGTATGCCCAAGTTCTGCAAATAACCAGAGTCTAACATCAGCATAATGGACCCCCTGAACCTCATTGAGCCTTTACTGCTCCAAGGGAATCACTACTAGAGGAGTTCAAAATTCACTGTAGTAAAGAAGAAATATGATTTATAAAAAACATTACTCTAAAGCTGTGAGAGATTTTATCTATCAGACAATCAATATTTAAATGCATGCTTCCATACTAAAACCTCATGGAAGATGTTGCTTAGTCCTGTGTGAGTGTATTTAAGCTGTTGGAAAACAACTGGAAAAACGCTGTTGAGATATATCCTCCCCAGTTATACTGTAAAGTCTCAGGCCCAAAGGAGCTGCTTTAGCAATTCTTATATTTCTAGCGCTTCCGCAGGCTCCCTCTAGTGGAGATCTAAGACCTGAAAATAAAGAAAGAAAGCTTCTGCCCTTTCAGCTACTGTTTAACTGAAGAAACTGATGGAAAATACTCATTTCTATATAAACAGTGGTTTAGGCATAAAAAGTGTTTAGTTAATGCATCTGTGCATTTAGCTGAGCACTAAGCTCTGTCTAAACACAATTTAGTGCCTTCCTACTCCCATATATTTTCACTTTCTTTCTGAAAGCAGGAAATCTGTGTCTTCTCATGCCTCAATAATGTAAAACAAAAAAAAAAAAAAAGATTTTTGTATTGAATGTTTTGGCTTGCCTGACAGTGAATTGCAGTACATTGTTCATGGAATTGGACTTTCTCCCTTGAAAGTCTGTTTTTTTTTTTTTTTTTAATCTTGCTTTCAGTTTTAAGATCCTCCGAACTAACATGAGCTTGCTCAGCTACTTACCTGCTCATTCGCTAGCGAGTTCTCGTGCAGTTGGAAGCCGTCTGCGTTTGAATTTTAATCGAACACAAGCACTGCTGCGCTTACGATATAAGTTCATAAAATAAAAGGTTTAAAAAAAAATAAAGAATATAAAAAAGAAAGGTATCGCTTACACGCGGAGGGCGATAAGGGCTTTACTGAGGCCACTCCGCTCCGTTCAGCACGTCCCGATGTCACCACAGCAATGACGGCGCAGGGAGGACCCAACCGCCGCGAGATTCAAACGCGCCGCCGTTAACGGCCGCGCATGCGCGGGAAGCTCGGGCGGGCGGCGCTGAGGGGAGCGCGCGAGCGTTAACATGGAGCTGGCGTTCTTCCCTTGCCAAAAAAGAGGCTAAATCATCCAAAACGCGCACACGGACGAAACCCAGACGTGAATTCGCCGTAAGGTAAAAGCATCAACAAAAACAGCACTTATTAATCGGTTAAATAAATTTTATTTTGGCATTAAACAGAAGACAACCCCCTCAGTAACAATTAAAACACTTTCAGTGTATGCACCTTTACACTGGCATGTCTCCTGTGGAATATCATCACCATTTCTTTCTTCCATCTCTTGGTGGTGAGGGAGGAAATAAAGAAAAACAGCTTACGCTTACCCTAAACTCCTTTTTTGTTTGTTTCTAAATAGCTACATGTGTAAGGAGACACTGCTTATCTCTTTAAAGAAAAAAAACATATGCTGCTTCCTTTCCTTTCCACAATCATCTAATCAAGAGTAGCTCAAAACTCTACCCTCCCCACCTCTTAGCCCTGAAAAATATCCCTAAAAGCATAAAAACTCTTAATGAACTGAGAAACAGATTAACACAGAAATGTGATAAAGAAAGAGATAATTTTTAAAGAGACAATCTAAGAAATGACCACGTTAAGCATACTTACGGAAAGGAAAAACTAGCAAATAAAGGCTCACGTGATATTGCCAGACATTAGGTTAAGTTGCTTGGTCAACTATCGAGCACGGGAATGCAACATCTGGATATTTTTAACAGTGAAAAAGCACCCAGATCTTCCCTGACGCAGGGACCTGACACTAGCTCTTCCAAAAGGCATTTCTACACAAACATGTTGACCCAACATTTCCTGCAACTCCCACCTTGCAGTCTGTATCCCCATGAATAATGCTTGCTACTTGTACGTTAAACTGAAAGAAAGTGTGTCTCTGTGCAGGCAAATATAGAAGCATCAGTATAAGTGGAAAAAGAATCCAAAGCTCTGCTTCATAAGCAGTTTTTAGTTAAAAAACAAAAAACAGAAAACAAAAAAAACAGAGATGCCCCAAGCCCCAAATCCGGGCCTACTCATAACCTAGGGCTCTTCACATTTGATAGCTGCTTCAAAATACAACACCAAAATTCTGGTTTAGTTTTTAAGCAATGCTCCAATGAGTTGTCTTGCACTAACAACTTCTACAATAATCTCAATTACCACAGCAAGAAGGAAAAATAGAAACACCACCAGAAATGGGTGAAATGTACCCTAGCTCTCTGGAATTATAGGGAGTATTCAATCCACCTATTCCAAGAATTTATTTTACTGTTTAACCATGTCATGAGGCGAATTTGGTGTTTGTGCAGTCAATGAATCCCTCCTGCTTTCTCAATCAATTTAGTAATTAAAAATAATATTTCTCTTTGCATATTTTAGGATACAGAAAAGAACTTCAGAAGTTGATTTCTTCCTGTACTCTACCACACCATCTGTTGGTACATTAAAAAAAAAGTCACAAATGCAAACCTTAATTAACTTTACAGGAAGTTGCAGTGTGTATGAACAGGATAAATTACTACACAGCACTAAATGTGGAGTGTCATTTCACATACCACCCACAAGAAACTTCTCCAAATCGAAACACTACTTTCTTTCTGTTTCATGTAAATAAAATAAAATATTTAAAGGTCATAAATTGTCTTTTAACATATATCTTTAGAAATCTATTTTATCACTGGGAAGGAAAAGAAAAGTGATCTTTGCGTTTTATCAAGCAAACACCCCTGAGTAAAGAGGCTGATATCCAGTGTCTTCTCTCTTGCAAGTGAGTACGCAGACGCTCAGCATGCCAAAGAACTGCAAAAGAGAGAGCACACAGAGATTTAGCTTTGCTCCATCTTTCTATTTCATCCCTCAGATCCAATACTTAAATGCTAATCAGACTTTTAGCATCATAACAAGGACATGCCTTTCATATTAAAAAATACTTTGATAATGATTTTTTGTATGTCACATTTAAATACTAGTTCCAATTCATATTTTTCTTTCCTAGATTCTCCCATTAATTTACACATGTACATTAATTTCTAGGTATCTTACCATGGGAGTAATTTCAGTAAAAGCATGTGACTATTCTGGTCTTACTATGTAATTCTATTAAATACTTAAGTATATAAGATAGGTAAATAAAAGAGCAGGTAAATCATAAAAGGTGATCAGAGGGAAAATTGTGGTGGAAAGATTCATCACAGAAATAACAAAAGGGATGTGTGAAGGGGACTTTAAGGGAACTTAAAATTGATCATTTTACAGAGGGAAGGGAAGTGATGGAAACTTCTGAGTAATTTAAAATTCATACTATGATATATAATGCAGCAAAAACAAACCTCTCTCCTTGGGCCAGAATTAAGAAATGGAAATTTTAGCCAAGTCAAGTCCCTGATGCTGAGATGACATCCAAGCAGGCAGATTTTTGCTTCTTCATTGAGTTCAGGAATGGGATACTAAACAGCAAGTGTTCTACACTGGCTCAATGTACTGACACTCTTTTACCAAAAACAGATACTCAAAAGAGAGGCATTTTTCTGTTATTAAATATTCAACTCTATGAACAAGGATGAGGTTACAACATTTGGCAAAAAGTTACAATGACAAACCACCAAGCTGAAATAAATGGGGCAAATCTTCATAGAGCTGTGTACACATTTCTTGGTTTTATCAGTTACTAAAAGTTTTATGTCAGGACGTTTAAAATCTGTTTTTCACCTACAGGACAACTTGTTTTGGTTTCCTACTTCTTTTCATTTAATTCATATCTTGCAATTCTATAAACAGTCCAGCCCTTTTCATTCCTGATTGTATTTGTTGACCATTTTGATTCCAGGTCTCCAAGCATAGGACTATTGACTGGCATGTGTCCAAGAGCAAACTTTGAAGAGTACTTTTTAAAATCCCAGTTAAGTATTAGAAAACTTGTTATTGTTTTAATATAGATTTTTAGATCTGGGCCTTTAAACACACATAGCTGGACATCTTTCCTACCAAAAAAAAAAAAAAAGATTTCCCACTTCGAATCCTCTACTCTTTTTTTGTATTCCTCTCCTTCTCATCATGCAGACAAAAATGAGAAAACTGGAAGAAAACAAGGAAGGAATAAGAGTATGGGGTCTACTTCATAGCCTGAGAAAGGAGATGGTGGAAGAAAACACCAGAGGACATCAGTGAGGATCAGTATTATTTTCCATGAGGGAAGAAATAGCAACATTTAGCCGTACCTTTACGATGGCAAATCCCAGGATTACAAGCATTGCATAGCTGAGAACACTCTGCAGCCCAGATTCCAGCTCCCCTGCACAGCCCTGCCAAGAGAGAAAGAAGTGAAAACAACCCAAAGGATAATTCAGCCGAACAGCTTGTTTTTTTTATTTTTCTTAAATAAAAAGAAAAATAAACACTACAGTCTCTGATAGGAAGCAGGACCTTGTAGAGCCTGTTTAATCAACTACTGCCGACTTGATGGCTTCCCCTCCTGCTTTACAGAGCTCGTGGCTTGCCATTCTCCCCTTGCTTGGGGAGATGCACTGACAGTCTGTGACTCACTAACGTTTGCTGCTTCAAGCAATCTCCTCTGGCTCAGTTCACTTATTACACAAAGAAATACCCCAAACTCAGCACCACCAGTGATGTCTGTAAGAGGCCATTTATGGGCTTGTGCCCCAAGCTGGAGAACCCAGTATGCAACTTTCCAGGTTAAATACAGGCCATCCTAAAAGAGCATCTTCCTTCACTCCAGAAGGGTCTAGACAGTGACTCACTCACACGTAGCCCTCTGAGCTAGTCACGTTGCTGCTGCAGCAGCTCCAAAGGGAGGACTGTCATCAGTAGACAGCCTGTGGAGACACCTGGAGCTCTTTGGTTATCTCAGTGCTTTTATGGAAACATGCAAGAAGGAAACTATCTAGTGGAAAACACGGTGGGAGAAGAGAGTTTGGGATTCAAACTGCTGGAAAGAATTAGAAGAAATCATCCCTAAATCCTGCCTAAAATGCTTTCCCCATTGGCTCCGGCTAGTTCAGAGAACCATCGCAGGCCAGTGTAACACGGAAATAAGAAGCTGCTCCTTTCCCCCTCACCTTGGTGTTGAGCTCCTGTGGCTGATCCAGGCTCCCCGTGCAGTTGCTCAGGCCTTGCCTACAGCAGCTCAGCGGGACGCTGTTTTTACCGGTGGAGTTAAACCACTGCGTGCTCGTCCAGTCGCTGTAGTTCCTCACGCCACAGCAGTGAAGCTGCCAGACACCAGAGAGCCACACGGACGCGTGATTACAACAAGAACGTGAATGCTAGTGTTGAATTCAACCTCTCTGGGCCATACTGAGCAAAGCTGCTGCCATCTTTCCGGTTTATAGCACGGTGTTCTCGCCAACAGTCATTCATGAAGTTATTCACATTCATTCGTATGTCTGATCCCAAGGCCACTCATGTCAACAAGGTCATTAATTTACATGAACTTCATATCAGGACCCCAAAGGCCAATTCTGCAAAGCAGGGAGCACCCCATGGAGAGCCAGGTGCTCCAAGCTCCTGCTCTGGGATACCAACCCTCCTTCCTTCCCTCTCCTAGGCCACATTCCCTGCTTAATGCCCAACTGAGCAATTTCTAAACAATTCTCTGCTGAATTTAAAGATTTTCTTACCTGTTCTTGCAAGTAATTCAGGACAGTAGACTCTGCATTTTTCCCATCATACTTTTCAAAGACTGAACGCATTGTATCCTGCACATCGGTTTTTACCTAGTTTCAGAGAAAAATATCCATTTTGTGTTAGCATAAGGGATCAGAATATTATCTAAAGGAAACTGCAAAAGATCTGTATCTCAAAAATTAAAAGAAAAAAACTTGAAGTTTTTGATAACATCTGGGTAGCACTTAATCAGAATATAACATCCTGGATATAGGCTGTTCTTAAGAGCCCTCTTTGTGAACATCAACATCTGTTTAATCCAACTTAAAGTCAGTTGTGATGCCTGCAGACCCTTCACGTATTCAGCATGTTCCAGACAAGTGTCAATTCACACACCTGGGAGTGACTTCCCCGTTCTGCATCCCCACAATAGCCACTTGCCCTGCAGTTTTCAGCATAGAGGAGGAAGGGCAAGAAAGCTGGATACACGAGAATGCTCCAACAACACAGGAGGTATCCTTCACTTCTGCGTTAGCACAGAGATGCTAATTCTTACCTTTTCCCTGTACACAAATCCCAGGACAAAAGCTGATACTTCCGCAATAAAGATAATCAGGATAATGGCCAAGAACTGAAATCCAAAGAAAGAGACTGTAAGGATACAGAGCAAGGACACATTTCCCACCACTTGCACGGATGATGATGAGTAAGTTTGCATTAGCCACTGTTGCACCGCCAGTTAAAAAAGCCTCCAAAAAGTAATTAGAAAAAGGAGATTATCTTGCATAGCCATGAAGATGACCAGCGCTTCCCAGCTCTTGGACTCCCTAAAAGATCAGTATCGTTGGGATATCGATGGGCTCGTTCCCCCAGAGATAGAGATGTCGGCTTTTTTGGAGGCATCTCCACATTAATCATCAAAAACTATAAATGGCTGAGGGCTTTAGTCTGCACAAGTGAAACGACAATAATTTGAGTGAAAGTCTAATAATTTACCCTGTAGCCCACTCGTGATCCATCAGTGCCTCACAGCAGCATGTAGCTCCCACAAAAGGGAAGTGCTCTAGCATTTTTTCTGACTAGTAACATCCTCATGTGCAGCTTCATGCACCAAAACAGTGCCCCATGCAGCAGGGGATGGAAAGGGACATGCAGGAACGTGCAGGACTTACCAGCCCCAGCCCAACCCGCGACTCGCGGAGGGTAGCACAGCAGCCGATCAAGCCGATGATGAACATGACGATGGCAACACAAATAATGATCACCGCTGGCAGGAGAGCGTATTCATCTTGCAGGAAGTTGTCATAGCTCTTGTAGGTGTTAATGACGTATCCCCCGACATAGCTAAGACCGGCTGCTGCTGCCTGAAACGCAATGAAGTTACTTGCGGTTATTTGAAAAATAAACCTGAGCTTTTCTCTTGTAATAGCATAATGGCTACAGATGAAAAGATCTAGGGAAAAAGAAGGCATGTGTCTAGAAATAACACCCGGTCCAATTCTACATTTGGAGGAATTAACTTCTAAGATGATGGCCCCAGGGTTGTGCTTTTGGTTTGTTCTTTGGAGAAAGCCTCATCCTTCCTGCCTTCTCAGCAGTGCTCCTCTTGAGTACTTGGAAGCTCTCAAAGACACAGTGGGATGTGAGCGCAAGAGAGGGACTGTTCACTGCCAACCAAGATAACTGGTTTTCTCTATCCTTGGTCTACTGCTCACTACAGAAGACTCTAATTCTTAGACTTTCTTTGAGGGGAAAGGGATATTCACAACTGTCCCTGATCCCAGCACAACCTTCTGCAGGCCAACGTATGAGCATGGTGGCTTGGCAACCGATGCCCCACGAGCAGCTGTGGAGACGGAAGGGTTTTATCCACAAAACTGGCCCCAGGCCTGGAAATGACACCAAAAGGCTCCACAACGCCCAGCCAAAGCCTTGGCGGTGGCATTAAAAACCTCCTGCGAGTTGCAGTCAATCCACCCTCTGTGATGCATCAGCCCAAGACGGGACCTGTAAAAACCAGGTCACTGGCCATACCCACCTGCTGGAAACTTGGAGGACAGAAACCAGCCTGTTTTCAACAGGCTGCAACTGGATTTCATCATGCAGCCTACAAGCTGTTCCTTACTTCTCCCAGCATGGTATGTTTTAATTAAATCCAACACTCCTCACACTGGAGCTAGACCTTGCTAATTCCTTTACCATCTTTGGCTCCTTCCCTGCGGCCAGGTCTGGTGCCTGCTCTTAATTATCTCTGGAGCGGGACACATCCTTCATCCACACCCACCATTCCTGGACACTGTCTGGACTAAAAATTACTGGAATGAGATGCACTGAGTGATGCAACCAGGACCAAGCTAACCCATAAAGTCATTTATCACGTCTCATGTAAGATCCTGCTCTTTATTTCAGCATCCTTCATCTGAAAGAAAAGGTTACCATCTCCCACCTGCTGCACTAAAAGATCCATTTTATTTGAAATGGGTGTTAAGATTAAAAAAGTTAGTCTACCAAGTTCATCCACGCAAAGTCTACCAAATTCATCTGAGTAAAGTCTTTTCTCCAAAATTCAGAAGGAAAAAGCATATTTCTGAAAATTTCAGAAAAGACTGGTGTATGTTTTAGGAAACAGCCAGAAACCGAAGCATCAAATGTTTCACAGGAACTTAAGGAAAGTTTCTTGACAGTGAGGGTGACAGAGCACTGGAACAGGCTGCCCAGAGAGGTTGTGGAGTCTCCTTCTCTGGAGATCTTCCAAACCCGCTTGGACGCAGCCCTGTGCCACGTGCTCTGGGTGACCCTGCGTGTGCAGGGGGGTTGGACTAGACGATCTCTAGAGGTCCCTTCCAACCTTAAGCATTCTGTGATTCTATATGCCAAGAAATTATCCTGCCCGGGGAATACGAATGCACCACGGCGGTGTCCCAAGCGCGGTGAGGCCGCGCGAGGCCGCCTGCACGTGCGCGACTGCAGGCACGCGCACGCTCGAGACGAGCGCCGCGGCCCGCGCAGCTACTAATAAGCAGGTTTTTCCCTGGGGACATCGACAGACTTTGGGCAGTGCCACCGAGCAGTGGGGTTGGGCACCCACTGCTCGGAGAGAGCCTCGGAAAGGCTCACGATGGAGAAAGGCAAAATCCTGGCAGAATGAAACTGCGGAGACCGTAGCTAGTGCGGGGCAGGTAGGACAGAGCGCAAAGGCAGGAATCCTGTTCCTGGTGAGTGCAGGGGCATCACATCTAAATGGAACAGCCATGTGGCTTAGTTAAAGTGCAAAGCATCAGTGAATCCAGTCAGCTTGTCACATTTACAGTTTCAAGCCCCAGTGTTTCGTGTCACTCTACTGCTAGCGCCTTTGCAAGTAGTTTTGCACTTCTGCACCACATGCCAGGACAGCAAATCCCAAACCCTCTGCATCACTTCATATTGTAAGACAGAGACCCACGTGGGGACAGGTCAGAATCTCCGACACTTCCACTAGGTTTCTGCAAGTGATTTAGGTAACAGGGGTGTTCTCTGCTTCTCCCCGGTATCTGATATCCTATTTTCCACCCGTTTTTAATGCAATCTCCACCAACCGCAGAGGAAACCTGCACAGGAGGTGCTAAAGGCAGGTGAACCGCGGGCCCCGGCCACTGGGCAAACCTGTGTTGCTGGTTAAGGGCTGCCACAAATTAAAAACAACCTCATGGAGGAGCCAATTCATTCAAGCCGCAGCAGAGCTCCATGACAAGGAGACAACTTCACGGAGCTGGCGGGAAGTTCTTCTTTTGACTTTACCAATGCAAGCACAGACAGGCCATTCCGCGAATTTTGTTGCAACATCCAGGATGACCTGTGCGCCAGTTGGACAGGAAACAGGGCCAAAAAGGGCTCTAGTATAACTTCAGAACTTTTGCTTCCAAGCAGGAAAAAAAGGAAGCCTAAAGATGTGAAAATAAAAGATAATGAGTGAAGATTTGGCCTAAGGCAAGTCCAGGTTTTTCTCCACAAACTTAGATACACCCAAGACTTCACCCCCATATTTTAAATCAAAGAGAAGATTTTGGATACGAAACAGAGAAGGCTGCTTGTTTTAATTTTTGCCAGCAAATCCCAGCATGAAACTGTAAAAGGAGAAAAACATTTCGGGATGTCAATCTCCACATTTTCCGTCCAAAGCTTTTCCCACACTTCAGAGAATACTCAAAATCTGGGGGAGGGATTTTCTCTAACATTGCAAAACCTGCCAGTCCATCCCTAAAATGAAAACGAAATCTCTCCAGAGAAGTACAAGAGGACCTGTCTGTCTGCCCTGGTGACGCCAGACCTTGAGTCAAGAATAGGAGTACAAAGTAGAATTGATTTAACAAGTTTCTCTCTAATCTGAGAAAAAAAAAAAAAAAAAAGCTTTTTCACAGCATCGACAATTCCCTTAAATGAGCAGAGCAACGGGAAATTTTGTCAGAAAGCCCCATTTCCGGCCATGATCAGCTCTGTGTGGCTGCCCACAGCGCTTGCGTTGCCTGAGGAGCTGATGCAGAAACCCTCGTGTTTCCTGCTCCGCGCCGCTTCCCGAAAGTGACCCTGGATTATCTGAGTGCAAAGGATGAAGCCCTTGCTGGGCTGAGCTAAAAGGAAGCCCGTGACTATTAAATCCAGCCTATGAAACGGGAGGGCTTGGGGTTGGACAGGAGAAAGAAAAAAATAATAATTAAAAATAGTGACATTTGCATCTCACAGTGGGGCAGGACAGAAACTCTTCCACTTTCCCTTCTTAGGTTGCGTAAGTAACTTGACCTTGTGCAATGAAGGGAAACAGGGTTTTCATTTGTTTGTTTGCATTTATGAGCGCAGGTTTCTTTTTCCCGCATTATCTGAATGCAACAGAGCTATGGAGTCAAAGTTACTAGTCAAGTTGAAAGTTATAAAAAGGTGGTGTTTATTCTAAGGGCTCTTTGTCTTTTATAAAGGTTTTTTCCCAGTATCCTCCCATTTCGGAGTGCTGATTTGATATCAAGGACTGCTAACAGGGCCAGTTGTAGGTTTTACTGGTCATGGTGGAAAGTGGTTCTGTTTTCAGGCTCCCCAGTCCCGTCTGGGACTCTGCACTGCCCAAAGATGCAAAAACAAGGTAAATTGTAGGCACAGTTTAAGAAGGGGAGAAGCACTCCCAGAATAAAGGTGATTCTGAGCATTAAAGAATAGTTTTGCAAACATAGAAGGGTTTAATTCAAGTGCATTGAAAGTATCTGAGAGCATAACTTGGATTGATTCAGCTCCTTTTTCTGTATTGTTGACACTTTCCATGAGCATAGAAAAATATGGTAAATAGTGGAAAAACGATGTATCGCTGTAGACACAAAACCTTTTCAAACCATCCCCTCGCACTTCCTCACTGCAGGACACCTCAGTGCAGCATTTTGGCTGATATGAAGACTTGAAAGCCACTTTTCCCTTCATGTTACCTTTGCCTGACAGGGATCTCGGTGAAAACATATGGCCTGCCCAGTGCGCACGTTGCCTCTCCGCACCCCGCAATTACATTTGCTGGAAAGCTATCAACTTTTCTCCAAATATTTCACATTTATAATTTGCTCAAAAGGGTTTGCGCAGCCTCAGAATAACCAATTTTCTTACCCCAAAACAACCAGCATACATGGCAAGAAGGGAGGCCCTTCCTGTGTCTCCCTGTTCCAGGGTACTGCAGGTTTTACTCTTCCCATGTCTGGTCTCTGCCACAATTCCAGGTCCTTCCTAGCCTAACTTGGCATCCATGGTGCCAGCAGCACCTTTCCTAGGAATATTAGGAAAAGCAGAGGTCAGTTTTGAGCTCCTGGGATTGCAAGAGACCTCTGAACCAGCCACAGATCCGGTGACTTTCATCTCCCTACTTGCAAACCTGGATAAAAAGCGTCCTCGAGCCCTCACCTTCTTGCAGAGGAGTGACAAAACAGGAAAGTCACTGATGATTCTGGTTTATCAGGGTCTTTCTACAGCGGACCCTGGGATTCAGAGTGGGGCAAACGTGTAGTCTGCTAACTTCTGCTTTGTGGTTTTGGGCAAAGACATTTAAAACATGTGAGAACTTACAGGTCTCAGACTCCCTGACCTGCAGTGACACTTTAGAGAAAACCACCTCCCTTAAAAATATCCTTCTGAGTCCATACCTGAGGATCTGGTATTTAAGAATCCCCCTGCATTCATCTCTGTCTTCATGGCGAACATTCCCAAACCACCTATAAGTGGCAAGAGTGACTTCAAACCATTCAGGGCTGCAGAAAATGACACTTTTATCCCTCCCAGTTACAAAAAATGACTGAAAAGTGACAACGAATCAACACCGTCATTGCTTGATATTCCAGTGTGCCACCCCAGATCACTCAGCAGGCCACTGGGAGGCTGAAAATGAGCAGATTTTAGTCTTGGATGCACCAAAAAGGGTAGATTAAGCACAAATGGAGATGACAGACACTCTGGCAAACATTGCCTTAGCCCCTGCCCTGCGGCAGGAGCCTCTTAATCTCCCCTCCTTCCTCTCCCCAAGGGTGGGAAGAGGAGGAAGATCGGGAGCAGGACGGAGCAGGGCAGGAGGGCACATGCTCCGCTTGCAGGTCGCAGCAGGAAGGGCTCCACCACCTCCTCTTCCCACCTTCTTTTCCTGAATCAGAAGAGGCACCTGGCTCCAAATATGCATCCAGTTCAGCCGAGAGGGAGGCACAGAGCCCACATTTTCCATCACAAATGGAAAGTGTTTGAACATGGAGGCAGCCCAGATAACCTGCTGACACCGTATCCTTTTTGGTGGCTGCGGCTCAGTGAGATGAATTGCTCCTGACTGCGAGCGTGGAGAGAAATGCAAGAAACGAAAATACACAAAGTCTCAGAAAACCCAACTTCCGGAGACCAACTATTTATTTTTAATGGCATTTCTAACTGCTGTCAGAACACCGTAACTGCCCTAACAGAAGATGAAATATTTCCCATAATCATTTCCAAGCGAGGCAACATACAATGCCCAAGCCGGAATTACTGCTCAGAGAAAAGTAAACCACAAATACTCCGTGTGAGTCTCGTATTCTGATAACGATCTAGAGCCTTGCATGCAGAGGCCCACCTGTCACACATAAATACGCTCTGGAAGTGCCAAAGAGGCAGTTCCTCCTTCCCCGCCCTGCTGGAACCTGAATTCCTGGTTCTGCGGTCTGCGTCGGAGCGCGTAAGGGTTGCTGCAGCATCCAGGCGCTGACCCCGGGGTGCTTTGCCTAGCAGGAGACGGGCCTGATCTGGGTCAGCCCAAATTCAGGGCTTGCAAACATGCAGGAGAAGAAATTGCTCATTATCCAGAGCTGGATGATCCAGCAGTCAAGACTGGAGAGTTCTGTTGAGGCAGAAAGTACCAGAGATGTTTCTAGGAGGCCATAAAGCTGTAGCTTGATATAAAGAAATAAAATAAAGCCCGGCACTAGCAATGATGTAAATCTGAGGTGTCCTTGACCCATCTAATTCCTGTCTGAGGCTCTGGGTGCGAGGTGCTCTGGGGTCCCTCTCCCAGCACTTTCAATAACAGCATGTGACAAACACACAAGAGCTCACATTACTACGCACACAGCTACAAGTTCAACCTCCCGCACCATTCACGCTATTGATATAAAGAGGATTTTTGGAAAACGCAGTAAGTTGTGATAAACACCCACACAGGAGGCACAGCGGGGTGACCTGCGTGCTGTCCCCCTGCACAGCAGCACCCTCTGAGCCCGAGGGGAAGAAACATGCTGTAAAACCTCAAATCTGTAAATCCCCTTGAACTCCAAGGGGAAGAAAGACATTGTAAAACCTCAAATCCGTAAATCCCCTTGAATCCAAGGAGAAGAAACACACACTGCGCTGTAAGCCCCAAAGCCTCTAAGTCAGAGGAGCGTCAGTCGCCCACGCGGTGGCCGACTCAAACTCTGACCCTCTGTGAAAACACCGTTTTTTATCACTTTGCAGAAATTTTACTTCCTCGCTTCTCCCCAGCACCCCCACGCCAGCAACTCCCACTTGCCAACCCACTTCCAGCGCCCGCTCGGCCCTTCTCACCTATTTTTTAGCGGATTACGCAAAATTCCCCTCACCGTGGAAAAGTCCAAGGTTAATTTTGTCAGAACAAGGGTGGCCCGTTGTGTCCGGCCGCCAGTCACAGTCACATGAGGCTGCCCTTCGCCAGCCCCAAACCCGCTTCCCTTCCCTTTCCCGCATGGAAACCATGCCACAAGGGTGCAAAAAGCCTTTTCCTGGGAAATATTGGGTTAACTCTGCCATTCCCGGGCACTGGAGCACTGGAAAACCCAGGGAAAAACCCTCCGCTGCAGCAGCAGCAAGTCGCATTTGGGCTGATTTAACTTCACTTTGGTGTTCACGTCCCAGGAACTCCTTCCAAAACAGCAAAGGATTGCACCGAAAAGCACAAGCCCCCACACTTTCTGGCTGCTTTTAAGCTGAATTTTAAGAAAAGCCACCGGCTGTGCTCACCTCACAGCAGCTGGACCCAAATTCCTCCCCAAAACGCGACTTGCCTGGAAGCTGAGGTACTTCCCCGGCACCTCGACTGGTAAGTGCCAGTAAAAACAGCACAGATATCCTCCAAAAAAACCCCAAAACGCACACTGCAACTTAGTTTTTCTTTTCTCGCGAGCTTACAAACAGAACGCAAGTGTATATATAGATAACGTGTGTATATATAGATAAATAGATATATACACACGGGTAGGGATTTCACATAGACATGAATCATGTTCGTCTGCACATGGGTACAGCCAAAGCTCGACCAACTCCTCTCCTGGACACTCCGGTTAACCAGAAAGCGGGGGATGCTCCGCACATCCCCTCCCGTAGCCGAACCCCGGTTTCTCCCGCAGCCGAACCCCGGTTTCTCCCGCAGCCGAACCCGGGTTTCTCCCGCAGCCGAACCCGGGTTTCTCCCGCAGCCGAACCCCGGTTTCTCCCCCCTCCATCGGTCACGTCGTCCCGCTCGGTACCCAGAAGGCGACGCTCAGCAGCACCAGCACCGTCTTGGACGTGATCACGCCGCAGTCCATGTCGCGGGAGCGCCGCTCCTGCC